GAAACTATTTTCTAAACTGTAAGACCTACTATGTGCCAGCACCATGCTAAGTGCTTTGCATGTGTATCATCTCAGTCAGTCCTAAGAACACACTGGGGTAGGTATCTTATGTTATCCCAGAAACTGAGGCTTTGGTTCAGTCCCTTGTTCAATCCCTTTGAAAAAGGGAACTGCAGAGCCAGGATTTGGACCCAGATGGGCCTGACTTCCCTTGAAACATGCCACATGTCTCATTTAGTCCTTTCGGTAGCCTTGCAAGATCAAAGTGATCCCCACTCAGCAGTTGAGGAATCTAAGGCTCAGAGGTTGAGAAACCTGACATGGTCATGGAACCAGGAAGTAAGATAGCTGGGCACAGACTCCCCTTTGCCCTATTCTCAGGCCTGTGTCCCCTGCGGCATGGTCTTCCTGAAGGTGTGAACCAGGCCACAGCAACGCTGGTCTGAGTTCTTGCCTCTGCATGGACTAAAGGGGCACAGCCATGAGCTGGAGAGAATCTCAAGCCTTGGGATGGGCTGGAACTGATGGCTTAGGTGATACCTGTCAGCACTTGGGCAGTGCTGGGCTCAGCTTCCCATCACTTTAAGAGAAAAGTGCAGGGAAATAGTCCCTTTGCTTGGCAGGCAAATCGTGACAACCACCACGCTGCCTCTGCTTGACCTCTGCTAGTAGGAAGATTATTTGTCTAATTAGGTAAAGAGCCTTCATGCACATGTACGTATTTTAACCCTAATGAGCTGTCAACGGGAAGGTTTGCCCTTGGCCTGGTTTGCCAGCTGATCTTTCCTTTCCTTGGTGGAAAAGGCCAGTGCAGTAAACAGAACCTTGTTTCCATGGAAGCTCACTCTCTGGCTTTTTCTTTCTAGCACTTGAAAAGGTAATTACTTGATTTCTCTTTATATTTTTGGGTTGCATACAGTGGGGCTGTCAAGCTCCTCGATTGAGGATGGCCTTCTCTATCATGCCAGGCTGTTTGAGGGAGCTTTGGTTGCATTTCCTTTCTCATCCTCCCTTCAGATCCTTAGCTGTCAGGCAGCCGTGTCTGCCTTCCGGTCACTCCTAATTAAAGTCTAACAGAGCAAAGGGACTTGACCCTGGAGAATGTGGATGACACTGGGAAGCCTAGGGAATTTGTCAAGAGAGGGGAGCCCCCGATCCCTTTCTTTCTAGTGCACAGACTATAGAGCAGGACCTCCACAGCCACACCACAGAAGGACACAGTCCCGTCTGGCACATTCTCATCTGAATCTTGGACGCCCCACTGTGGCCCATGTCAGAAATACAGCCACCATGGGCTTGTTTAATAACGCAAAAGGCAGCCACCATTTCCTGAGGGTTTGTTCAGGAACCTGTGTGCCAAGAACTGGGCTGAGCACTTTATACCCGATGCCTCAGTGAATTCTCATGATAGCCTTAGGTCGATTTATTACACTGATTATTCAGATGAAGAGACCTGGAGCACAAAGAGGTTAAGTAACTTGTTTAACGTCACACAGCTAACTAAGGGGCAGAGCCAGGATAAGGACATGCTCATTGCTCTCATTTTGGGGGGAGGGCTCTGGCACTGCTGTAGCCTCTCCAGAAGACATCAGCCAGTCATGACGGGTGAAGGAGGGTAGACATTTCTCTGCCCCCTAGTGGTGGCTCGATGTGTTAAACTGTCCCATGTATACAAGGAACAAAGTGAGGGCACTGAGTTAGTTAATTGTCAGGACCAATTAGGAAACCAAACAAGGCACTTAAGAAAGAAGCCAACATAATGGCAGAGCAAAAGAGCTTCAGTTAGAGGCAGGACAGACTCCATTTCTAATGGGTCATACCACTTTATCAGCTGTGTGAACTGCAGCAAGTTCCTGAACCTTACTGAGACTCAGTTTCTTCATCTGTAAAATGGGGGCGATAATGATACCTCCCGCATAAAGTTGTTTCACATGTGAAATTTCCCAAACTGCCCTGTGGAATATTCTTCAGTGAAATAATTATGTAAAAGACAAAATTAAATGCAGTTCAATAGGCTTATTAATTCTAGAATTGTTCAGAATCTTAATCATACTAATATGTATTATAAGTTTTCAGGAGGGAGCAGCATTTCCTGACCCCAGAGTCTTTTCCCTGGGAGAATTCATTAATATCTAGTTCTTGAGACATTTCAGAAAAGACTGGAATATAGGCCATAGGATACCTGGGATCAACATAGGCATCAATAAATGCTACTCTCCTCTCTTTTGTGCCCAAAATGTTCAAATAACCTTATCTGTCCTTGCTAGATTTAAGCTCCATGGAGGCAGTGACTAAGTCTCTCTTGTGCCTTTCTGTATTCCACTGTCTTGGCATATCAAGACATTCCATAAAGATCTGATAAATGAATGAGTAAATGAGAGAACGCATGAACTAATGAATGAAGCGTAGTGTAGACCTAGCCTGCTCGTCTTCTTTGCCGGCATTGTCTGCTGTCCCTATTTCCGTTTGATGAGGCCAGATGCCTCCATAAAATTTAGTAGTGGGGATGGTTCTACTGGGCTGTGTTTTCTCTTTTCACTTTTAACCTCTGTGAACATTGTATCTTCTGACAGAATTCCCAACTTTAGCCCCTAACCAAATCATTTTGCTGCTTCTCAGTGAAGAAGTCAGACATTTTGTTTGCATATGTATTTTGAACGTGACATGTCTGAGTGTTCCCAGTGGGTTGGCACCTGGAGCTAAAGAAGTCTTGGGTTTCCAAGGGAATAGAATGAAGACAGCTCATTGGCACTTAAAAATAAAGCAGAGGCTACCGTGTTTCCCATGTGCACCTATGCGGAAGCTTGTGATGAATGGACCCCTGGGCAGCAGTGTAACTGCTTTCGGGTGGTTTTCTTTATATATATGTAGAACAGGATTTCCAGCTCATTCTCTGGGCATTGTATTGTGCAAAAAATAAAAATTTCAGTTTGAATTAAAGAATAAGTTGATCAGAGTCTAGCAGACTTCCTTACTTCTCAGAGACTTTGTGCATTTTGATACACCATTTTCGAAACTCAACTGACCATTCTTCTGGAACCCTTTCTTCTGGAGGATTTAATAAGATTGTTGTTTGGCAGAACTCTTTAGGAAGTGCTGCCTTAGAATATATGGCCAAAAGTTGCAATCCAGTCTTTATGATCTAGGAAATAGTCCTGCCCCTCAAAACTGTAGAAAGGAGAAGAAAGGGCAACTCCTGAATTAAATCACGTGCTAAAAATGCACGGCATAAAGCTAGATGGATTTTTATGTGTTTTATAAAATAAACCATGGGGCACCTGGATGACTTAGTCAGTTAAGCCTCTGACTCTTGGTTTCAGCTCAGGTCATGATCTCGGGGTCATGAGATCATGACCTGAGTGAAACCAAGAGCCAGCAACAGGCTCTGTGCTCAGTGGGGAGTCTGCTTGAGAGTCTCTCCCTCCCTCTCCCTCTGCCCCTCCCCTGCTCACATTTCTCTCTCTCATAAATAAACAAATCTTTAAAAAAAGACCATTGACGATGCTTCAAAAGTATGACCATAAATTTTTCAGTGTTCTTGTTTACATCATATTAAAAAGAACTTATTTTCTATACCATTTTGTACCATAGATGAGATTCCTTTTTTTTTTTTTTAAGCATGGATCTGGGTGGGTTTTTTGTTTGTTTGTTTGTTTTTTATTTTAGAGGGAAGAGGGGCAGAGGGGGAGGGAGAGAGAGAATCTCAAGCAGACTCCCTGCTGAGCACATAGCCCTCAGTGGGGCTCAATCTCATGATCCTGAAATCACAACCTGAGCCGAAATCAAGAGTCGGACACTTAACTGACTGAGCCACCCAGGCGCCTCTGGATCTGGGTTTTTATTTTCCAATTTCTAAATAAAAATGGCTTTTAAAGGAAAGGGACTTAGAAAACTCAGATACTTCTTAAGCTATATTTTATTGTGAGTTAATATGCACTATAAAGAGGAATAAAGCCCATTCTAGTTGAATGCCATTATTCCCTATTTATTAAACTTTTCTGTGAATAAAATTAATCATAAACTACTGAACAAAACAAACTCAATTATAGTTTGAAGGATAACAATAGGCTTGCTTGGAAATAAAGAGAGAAACTTAATTCATAGAGCAGAGATCAGTAACTATGGCCTGCCACATGTTGTTGCACATAAAGTTTTATTGGATCACAGAAATGCTCATTCATTTATGTATTGTCTATGTCTGTTTTCACATCTGATTGGAATAATTGAGTCATTGCAACAGAGATCTTATGACCCTCAAAGCCCAAAGTAATAATTATATGTCCCTTTACAGAAATATTTACCAGTCTCTTTCAAAGATGTGATAAGGATGGAGATTATGTAACCAACCCCTTCATTCTATAGATGAGAAAACCAGAGAAGGGAGTTGTCCAGGTTTATTTATGCTTGGGTATGCTGATTCTTACGTTCTAATAGCTCTAACTACAGGGAAGACAAGGATAGATTTCAACTTAGATATTAACACCAACTCAGTGGTAATGACCATCTGGAGTACCGGCTGAGAAAGTCTTAGGGCTCAGTGAGAAGGAATGCAATGATTGATTAATCTCCCATGGTCTAGGGGTGGAACAGCTGTAGGATATATGCCTTGTAGGCACTATGGATAAGCACTATGTCTGTTCCACGCATTTCTAATAGTTATATTACTGGCTCCTTCCTTGTATGTCTGTCATGTAAACACTTTCTTCACTGGACCAAAATAGAGGTGCTGTATTGGGCCCTTATTAGAAGCACTGCTGTCTAGCAGTTCCAAAATGATTCTTGTGCAAGTTCATTCAAGTGTCTTTCCTAGCAACTGCCTACCACATGGTAGGATTTAACTTAAGATTTCCCTCCAGTTGTATTTGTCTGTTACAAGATTCTTAACTTTTAGTGAAATATGTCTATGGGGGCAGAAATTGGGGCATGTAAAATGCAACATCATTAGTTCATTGGTTTTTGTGATCCAAACTGAAAGTCTCCGTATTTGTGCTTTTGTGCAGCTGGACAATCCAGATGAGCAAGCAGCCCAGATCAGACGAGAGCTGGATGGACGTCTCCAAATGGCAGACCAAATAGCCAGGGTAAGGAAGCATTGAGGACATTTGCTGGGGAACCAGGCCAAAGTCCCACACAGGAAGCACACTGATTTTTAAGGTCCATGGAAAGATAAAACGGAGAAGCAGAGAGGAAGAACGATGAGGACAATCATCTGATTGGGCCCTCAACCCTCCTTTCTCAGGGCAGCTCTCCCAGAGATAGTACATAAATTTCCTATGCTCCAATCAACACACAAACTCCAGCCTCCCCTTTCTCCCAGGTCCCTCCCTTATATTTCCAACTGTCTATTGAGCATGTCCTCTTAGATATTCCCCTTCATTCCAAGTTAAATTGTTCAAAATCTAGCTCCTTATCTTCTTCCTCCCACCATACATACTTACCTACATTGGCTCCTCTTCACATGTTCTCTGTCAGTTACTGTGGATGGGACCTCCTAGGCATTCTCAGTTTCTCCTTTATCCCCAAAGCACCCCACACTCAGTCAGCCACCCAGGTCATTAATTCTGCCTCTGAAATGTGGACCAGATCTCTTGACTGCTTTTCAGCACCACTGCTGGTGCTTTGATTCAGGCCCTCATCCTCATCGCCTGGATCTCACAATAGCCTCCTTGTGGGTATCCCTGGCTCCACCCCTGCCCCTTGCCTGTCTATCCTTCACACAGTTACCTTTCTAAACCTCATGCGTGAACATCTCAAAAACAGAGCCTCAAAATCCTTCAGTAGACTCCTCCACTGTCCCCAGAACAAAATCTAAACTCTTTAGAATGATATTCCAGGCTCTTAATCTACAGACTAGATCCTTTCTTATTAGGTTCAACTCCCACAACTTTCCTACCAGAATTCCCCATTCCAGCTACAGAGAATGTCTCCCTCTGAACAGTCCAGCAGGCCCTTTCCAGCCTCGGTGACTTTGTACGCACTGGAGTGATCTTTCTTTTCTTCTCCATTTAGCAAACCCTCTTCCTCAGCCTTTGGTGCTCAAAACCCCTTCTCTAAGAGCTTAGCTAGTTCTCCTCACTCTCATGCTTTCTTCATACCACATATAAACCTTTTTATAACAGTTCATTGAATGGTGACTATATTTTTATATGTCTGAGCCTCCCAGTAGAAAGGATTTCTCTAGAGTTGGGATTATGTCTTACTATTATTGACTGCACCTAAATGTTATCTACTATTACTGCTTTTGCTGTCACTTGTGTTATTACTGACAGTAGTTATGCTAGTCATATTCACTGAATACTGATTCCATTTCATGCATACTAAATGCTTTTCATGTACCATCTCATTTAATCCTTCAAACAGCCCTATAAGTATATTTCAGTTATCATTTTTGTTTTAGAGGTGGGGAGATCAAGACTGAGCATGATAGGTACTAGTTAAGGTGCTACACTAGATTCTTAACTCAAGTCTGTCTAAATATGAGGCCTGAGACAAGGTAAGACACTCACATAAGGTACAAAATTTTAAAAGCAAGGGACCAAAAATGCAGTAAGCAAGATAAAGAACATTTTAATGAAATATTTTTTAATCAAAATTAACGCAAAAATCCATGGAGAACAAAATATCAAAATTTTAAATAATTAGATCCTACTAGTTCCTATGGTAACCACAGAACATGTGTGCCTGTGAGGGTAGGGGGCTGTGGGAAATGGTAGGGAGGATGGACAGTTAGCAGAGCTTAGCATCCAGCCTTTCTCTTCATGGAAAGAAGTGTCTCAGGACCTGGACATGTGGGAAGGACTTCCACTAGAAGAGAAACCAAAAAGAGATTCCAAAAAGCTCAAAAATCTCCGTTTGTGCTTAAGCAGCTTTTTTGAAATATTTTACATCTTGTTTTTGGACATCTTTGAAGTTTATAGTAGAGTCAGTCTGTTGGCTAAAAATAATATGCAGTTATGGATTTGCTGAAAGGTAGCGTAAAAGGCTCTTATGTTTGAAAATCCTGCTTAACGAGGGAAAAAACATCAATAAGCCTTCAGAATTTACTTCTGTAAACTCAGTGTCTCCTCAGCAGATTATCCAGAAAATAGAGTTCATTTGGTCCATTCTCTGCCTTTAGGCAACTATTACATCCCCAACTAATAAGTATTCATCCTGTTTGAAGAAAATCACACACACACGCACACACTCCACACACACATCAAAAACAAGTTCATGGCACCTTTATTTTAGTTGTTTACTTTGAGGCTTCACATGATAATTTAAGAAACTAGTGTAGGCTAATTTCAATTTTTAAAAGACCATGAATGAACAACTGTTATATAGTGAGCCAAATTGCTCATCTCTGAACAATGGTAGACCAAAAAACTCTCTCCCTCGGCCCATGCCACTAGGTATTTTGATAACAAGTAGGATATTATTGATTACTTAGAACTAGACTTTCTTAGACAATGAAATAGCCAATTAGAGTGAATCTTGGTTATTATTTATAGAGAATGGAGAGTAATTTCCAAGTATATGGAGAATCCTCCAAACATTTAGGGTATTGAGGATTTCTATGAAAGAGTCTGCCCATCACTATCTCCTGTTCTTGTAGAAATGGACTATCTTCTTCATTGTTTATTCATGCCAGTGGTCTCCTTGCCATAACTAGTTAGTCCTGGAACTATGTTCTTTACCCATATGGAATCAGGCACGGTTTCCAGCCTGCCCTGACCACAAGTGATTGGTCCAGAAATGGATGCCTGATACAACTAAACCAATGAATTACTGCCCTGGGACCTGTGGACTCTGGGCCAACAGGGCTGTGTCTTCTCATGCTAGAAAGATGTCGGCAGTCATGCTTAATTCTTCCATGTAGGGAAAAGAAGATAAAAGAATGAAGTCAACATACAAAGAGAGATAGAGGCAGGAAGTATACCGAGATACTCAGGATGTTCAAGTCCCTGGTTGCACTTATTCTTGAGTCTCAGCTGTGTAACTGCTTTTCCCTCAGTTTAGTTGGGTTCTGAGACAAATAAATTCTCTTTGCCTAAGCCAGCCTGGCTAATACTAAAGAAAATTGATAAATATCTGCTAAAAATTAAACAAAATATCAAGATTTTAGATATTGGCTAGGTCATGAAGGGATATTGAAACAAAGTACCCCAGCTTATTATCTTCTTTTAGCAAACCCTGATTTTTCTATTTCTGGCATCACAGTGAATTTTAGTGAGAGTGTGCAATTCAACCCATATGGCTGAACATCAGCTCCTGTAAATATCATAACCAGAAATTCCTGGATAGGGGACAGGCAAGATGGTGGCGTAGGAAGATCCTGAACTCACATCCTCCCACAGACACAACAAGTCTACAACTGCATGTGGAATTGTCCTCTCTGAAGGGGGCCTAGAAACTGGATGAGCAGGGCCTCCACAACAAGGGATAGCACTGACACGGGTGGAAGTGACAGAGACACAGTCTCACTAAGGAAGAAACCACAACCCAGATGCAGCATCCCATTCCAATCAGAAGGATCTCAGAAATATAGAAATTTTTGCTGAGGAGCAAGAGATTTGAGCTCCACATCAAAAACTTCAACCCTTAGATCCTACACAGAAGATCAGCCCCCCAAACAGTAGGCTTTGAAAACCAACCAACAGGGAATGCACTCAGGAAAACCTGGTAGAGAAAACAAAACTGCTATCAAAGGGCTTAAGCACAGACTCACTCAATGCAGAAACCAGTGCAAAAACAAGAGATTGAAAAGCACATAGACCACAGGTGAAGGAGATCCACTTACTAATCTTGGAACGTCAGCCAGTGAGATGGGAGAGAGAGAGAGAGAGAGAGAGCTGAGCCTCTCCCAGGGGACTGAGACACTGGCTGCAGCCAATTTTCCTATTTCATTCTGCTGTGCTTATCCTGGTGCTGGTAGACACCATTGTGAAATCCTCCCTTTAGAATGCTATGTCAGGGGATGTGCCACTGAGAGCCCTGTATAATCCTGTACCTCAGCAGGGCCTCTCAGCCAAAAGGACAATAACCCCACCCATCAGCATACCTGTAGTACTCACAGCCAGGCCTTATAGCCAGATGGGATGGGGCCAGCCCTGCACAACAGTGAGTTGTCACCCAGCCACAACAGGAGAGTGTACACAGCCCATACTAGGGACACCCCTGGGGCACCTCACTCAGGTGACTAAGGGGAGTTTGCATTACTGGGCCCCACATGACACATTCTGCATAAAGCCACTCTTTCAAGACTGGGAGACTGATCTATCTAATAGATAGAAATAAACAGAAAATTGGACATAATGAAGAAACAGAGGAGTATGTTCCAAATGAAAGAACAAGACAAAACCTCAGAAAAAGAACTAAATGAAATGGAGATAAGCAATCTACCAGATAAAGAGTTCAAAGTAATGGTCATAAATATGCTCCCCCAACTTAGGAGAAGAATGGATGAACACAGTGAGAACTTCAACAGAGATAGAAAATATAAAAAAGAACCAATCAGAGCTGAAGAACACAATAACTGAAACGGAAAATACACCAAAGGGACTCAACAGCAGATTAGATGATGCAGAAGGATGGATCAATGACCTGAAAGATATGATATGCAAATCACCCGATCAGAACAGCAAAAAGAAAAAAGAATTTTAAAAATGAGGATAGTTTAAGAGATCTCCAAGACAACATCAAGTGTACTAACATTCATATTATGGAGTCTCAGAAGGAAAAGTGAGAAAGAAAGGGACATAAAACCTATTTGAAGAAATAATGGCTGACAACTTCCCTAACCTGACAAAGGAAACAAGCATCCAGGTCCAGAAATCACAGAAAGCCCCTACTAAGTTGGACCCAAAGAGACACACACCAAGACACATTATAATCAAAATGTCAACAGTTAAAGAGAGAATCTTAAAATCATTAAAAGAAAAACAAATAGTTACATACAAAGGAACCCCCATAAGATTATAGCTGATTTTTTTAGCAGAAATTTGCAGACTGACAGAGTGGCATGATATACTCAAAGTGCTGAAAGGAAAAGACTTATAACCAAGAATACTCTACCCAGTATGATTATTACTCAAAATTGAAG